TTAGCTTTTAAAAATGAGTTACTAAACAATCATAATGCATATATGGATAACATTAAGACCATGAGGTGCAGGAGTAAAATGTTATTTGAGTAAGAGACAAAAGAATTAATTAAAGAATACTAAATAGTGATATTTGTTGTTAAATTGGAACATATAGGTATTTTGTATATAATCACTTATTATATAAATTGCTTAAAAATTTATCAACAATCTGTATTTATTTAAAGGTCATTAAATTTGATTCAGAATATATTTCATAATGGCTTCTACATATCCTTTAATTTTTAATTTTTTTAATTGTTCATAGATAAGTAGATATGCCAAAAATTTTGAAAAATTGTCACTTCAAAAATCTTCTTATGTATGTAACACTACTATTGTCAAAAAGAAAATTGAGATTAATAAGAAGATTAACAATTCTTTATAGGTTGTTATAAAAGAAAATAAAGAACAAAAATAGGTTAAATGATTACCTATGATGACTCACTCATAGATTTATATATTAGAAGATAATTCAAATCCTCAATTAATGAAAACTACTTCTTGAAGAATTGAAATGAATATTAAATTAGTTAATGATATTATAGAAATACAAGTAGACTAATTTAGAAGTAGGTATGTTAGATTTAGATAATTGATTAAGTAGATCCTTTGAAAAAAGTTGACTCTATCAAAATTTGAGAGAGAATTTAAGGAAGCTTATAGCAGTTAAAATGTCTTTAGAAAATTATAGACATAAATCTAGAAGATTCTTAGGCTTATAATCATTTGATTTAGACAAAATGTATTATATGAATTTTTATAACATAATTTGTTATTTTTTTAGTACAATCATTTTATTAGCTACTAAGTTTCTATATCAAAAGTTCGTGTTGTACAATAATTATTCAACAGTATTAACCTTAATGAAACACTTTAACCATATCATTTATTTAACTGGATCTCAATAAGAAATTGAGTTTTGCGCTATTTCAGACACATATAAATATTTTCATCCAGAAACAATGGAAGAATTCATACCTCAATATTCTGATTCAAAACCAAACATTTAAACTTCAATATACTATGTACCTGATCAAACGATAGCCTATAATAAAAACATTTGCATTTTCCAAAAATTTGCTCAAATCTCTTATTATCAATTATCTGACAATTGTCATATCAAACAAGGAATAAATTTTGATATGCCAAACATCAAATTTGCTTCCTTTTTGTTTGTAGCTTCAAGTGATCCTTTAATAGTTTACTTTTACAATTAATTAGTCGTAAATGATTAATACCTTATGCATATAAGCAATGTATAAAATCAATTGGGAAATTCTTAATTAGATTATAAATTGAGACAGTTTTGGATTTAAGTAATAGAATCTCATAACTTTCCTGTAAATTTTAAGCGTTCTCAACTAATTTAAGTAGATTTCCAGTAATACAATGGAGTTTTAAAAGTTTCTTAAATAAACAATAATGTCATTCATCCTTAAGTTCTTTAACATGCTTATGATATGAATAAGAGAATGATATTAAGTAAATATAATAACATAAGAAATCTTATTAAAAGAAAATTGAAAAATTTTTAGATGTAAGAAAGTATTTTCATTGCTTTACAAGAATTAACAAAAGATAAAGCATTGGTTTAAAAACATGATGATTCATTTCAAATTTTAATTGATTATAATAGGGTTGGCTAAAGAGTTTACAACTATGTAGAATCAACATGTCCATGAATTTATATATAAATTATTTAGATTAAACAAATATATAGAAATTATTTATATTAAAATAAACTTTTATTGAAATCTAATTCATAAATCTGAAGATAAAAATAATTATAAATAAGTGATTAACTATAATGAAATTATTTATTGTATAATCATGGTTATTATAGGAAATGGATTAATTTTTTAAAATAGTATTATGAAAAGTATTTTGATACATGAGTATATAAATATGTAGACTGAATTATTTAAATGGAATTCCTTATCATTAGAATCTACATATAAGTGAACAAAAATTAATGCAATTCTCAACAGAATAGACTAATTATTTGAGTATAGCAACAAGAGGTTTAGCCTTTGTATTTTAAATTCTTGATATAAAAATATTAATTTTAAATAATGCCCACAAAATCATTTAGAATATAATAAATTAGTCTAGTCTATTTATTATAAATTATAAAAATTACACTTTATGTATCCCTTAATCTATAATTAATTGATAAAAATAGTATTATTAGCTTTACAAAATATTAAATTAATTTTGAAATAGTCATACTAAAATTATTTCTTGAGAATATTCGTATTTATTTATATAATTGGGAAAATTCGTATTTATAAACATTAGTATTAAGTTAATAAGGAAAATTATTTTTTTTTGCTTTGAATATTCTTTTTATTGATTAATGAAATATTTGAATAGTAATTCTTAATTTTAAAGACTTTTAAAGAGTTAATCAATAAAAAATTCTAATATTAAAATTAAATAAATTATTATGTTATTAATATGGTTGATGCATTTTGATTATAGATGGTGTTGGAGAAAAAGCCTTCCCTTTTTTGATTATTTTTGGATATTGACTGCCACTATAAAATTTTTGCAATTAATTCAATCTGAAAATTAATACAGGAACATTCTATTAATAATTCAAGTGGTTCTTGCAATAAAAATATACCTTGCAATAATGAGAAAGAAAAATGAGAAAAATATTGAATAATATAAAAAACGTGTTGATGTAACAACAGAGATGACATATTGGGTTTAAAAAAAAGTACTTAAGACAATGAGTGGATAAATTGCATTAATATTTTCATTGTTAGATGTTTTTTGGATATTTTAGGATCTTTTTGCATTTATTACAATTGTGCCTGTTGTTATAACTTTAGTAGGGTTTATTGTAATAAAATTATCAGCACTTGTTTTGAGTTGGGTATATCCAGAATTGTATATTAAGATAAATAGAAAATTGAATTGATTTGTATAATATTATTATTTATAAATGAAAGTACAACTAATCATTTTGTTAAGTAATCAGGGAATAAATCTTAAACTAAATGTAAAGGATCTTAATAATTTGTATATGAATTCATTTTTAATAATTATGAATTCAGTTCTCTGACATCAGTAACCATTCTAAATTTCATTAAATAATTTTGTAAATATAATAATTCCTAAATTTGAAGAAATTGATTACTTAATCTGATTTATTATCATAATATGCAATAATTGGTACTCCATTATCTATCTATTACCCAAATGAGTAACTAGCATTATCAATCAAGAGAATATTATTTAATTTTCTATTGCCTAAGACTCTAAAAGATAAGGAAATGAAATACCTTAAATCTTTAATGTAAGCTCCATCTTCAGTTTATAAACAATGATCTCGAAAAAGTCTATGACTTATCCATTGTTTTTTTGGATCTAAGTAATCTAAGACTACATTAGCATAACATGAATGTGAAGCTGTAAAAACAATGATTTCGAAATGTCGAGATAGAGTTTAAAGTATTTATTAAGCAAAAGGTCTGATATTGATTGATGCTTAGATAGTTTCTCCAGTAGGGAAAGTGATTGGCAATACAACATCTCCAGGAATAGCTACACTTTCATTACAATGAATTAAAGTTTCATCTAAATCAAAAACTAATGTTTTAAAATGATTAGATTTAGGTAGATTCATAACTTTATCCTCTTAAAATTACAATTGTAAATTTCTAGCATATTCTAAACCCTAATTTATAATTAATAATATATATACTTATATAGTTTAAACAATATGATCTCTAACAACTTCATCATTTTTAGTAATCTATTCTTGAACTAATACTCTTATTACACTTGAAATATAATACAAAAACTAGATAATGATATTAAATAATTACTGTGTCATCCTTTTTAGGTTTTTAAGAAGAATATGATTTTTCATTAATGACTGTTTTTGTGGATGGAATTACTGTTTAACTAATTTCTAAAGATTAATGTCTACTGAGTTAGGATTATTATGGTTAAATTGGTTTTTTTAATTATTTAACTTATGTAACGAACTAATCTAGATTAACACTAGTTTGTTTTTCCTTTCCTATTTAACTTTATTTTAAAGCTTTATTGAGTTATAGATTAAGAGCAGTGGCACATTTAGTTAATTCTTTTGGTGTACTTGATTCTTTGGGTTCATTATTTTCTTAATCTTTTTTTTAAAAGAATTTAGCAGCTAATCCTACTGGCTTTTATTTAGCTCTTTCAGATTATTTTTGTAATTAAGAATTACTTATTTCAATATTAGATTTAATTTTGTTGATCTTATTTTCTAAAAATAACAATTTTTCGTGTAATTTTTTATATTCGGATTAATCAATTTATTTGTTTGGCAACTGTTAATTAGATTATGATTTGACAAGAGTAGTATCTGGAACTTATTTTAATGAATAATATCTTGATTAAGGTGTAGCTTATTATGGTTAAATGTATGTTGAGTTCTTTAATTCTTTAAATGAACATCTAGATGGTTGTTTTTAATTAGAAAATGCTCTTTTATCATTAGATGCTGAGGATGGTCTTGGAACTACTTGAACTGAAGGTTGTCTAGGTTGGGAAGAATTGGGACGCATTTCTGGTTTTTGGAGGGTCTAAGTGGATTAATATTATGGATAAGCTTGTATAGGTTTTCGTTTTTGTAATTATGCATATGAGTTTTCTTTATCAGGTGTCTATTTGAAAGACTAACGGAAAGAGTCTTAAACTACAGGTCTTTGAACATATTATGGTACTCGTTGCATTCAGTTTAAATTTTGTTAAATTAAAAAAAGTCTGTTTAATTTAATATAATCTCTATACATTATGTTAATATAGAAAAAGTCGTCATAAGAAAAATATGAATATAAAGAAGTTTTTGGATTGAATATTTTGTATTAATATATATGTATATTATTTAATAGGAGTAGTTAGATTAGTTATGAAAAATGAGTTTTTTTAGATGTCATTTATATTTTTATTAATAATTAAAAATGAGTTAGCTGCTGGAAAGTATGTTGTTTTATGTTATTTTAGGTTTAATATAATAATTTATACGTGATGGAGATGAAAAGCAGAGTGAATAAATAAGTCGTTAAGTAATGTAAAAGCATCCTGTTATCTATTTGTGTAAATGTTCTGAGATTTTAGATGATGTAATTTATTAAATGTATATTAGATGGCTGAAATAAATAGTGAATATATCAGAGTGCTTAGATTAACTCTTTAAGTTGCTGGATTATTAACTAAAACAGAAGATGCAAAATTAGCAGTCATATAATGTACTTAAGTGTTAAAACGAATTATAAATCGAATATTAAGTCAAACTTAAATTTCAGAAGAGTTAAATTAATTACTAACTGATATCCACATTAAATTAATGGATGTTTTTGATGAATTGATTATTAATCATATTTCAGATTTTTTTGAATCAGGACGTGTTCCTGAAATAGTTATTTTAAAGATAATATAGTAGATTTTTGAATCTTAAAGTAAAGTTTTAATTAAATTTGTTTAGGTAAAGAATATTTTAGATAATTTTCATATGAAATCTTATAAAAGATTCTATCATCTCTATCTCTTGTTAAAACTGATTAATGTAGATTAGATTATTGTTCATTATTATAATCTATTTATAAAACACTTAATTATTTTGAAGAGAATTAGATATAGATAAATTAAGAATAGGTATAAAATGTGAGTTGGCTTATATTTGATTAAATTATTAAAGATTGGATGTAGACAACAATCCAATTATAAGTATTATCATTAGTTGGATTTATGAGTTAATTTATATCTAGAGAAAGATTAGAACGTAGTTTAGAAAGATTAACATCAGTATATTTGAGTGTTTTAAAACAAAAGAATAATTAATTAAGACCATTATTTGAAGGTTTTAATAAATTTTTGGAGAGATTATATTAATTAGATAGAATTGGATATGAGGGAATCATAAAATCAATAATGGTATCATTATATGAATTTTATAAAAATCCTATTTTTTCTCCTAATTATCCATTTGATCCAAATGCTTTAAAATATAAAAATGATTTATTAACACTTTTACAAACAGTATCAAAATTCAATATTGATAATTGTTTAGATTTATTTATAGGAAGAATAAATGTAAATAAAATATATATATTATTTAGAGTAAAGATTCTATTGAAAGAGTTTCTTGTTTGTGGATATGCAATTTTATTTTATCTAGAAATTTTAAACAGATTTCTGAACCATATAAAAGATAATTAGTTTTATAATTATTAAATTTATAATTTGAATAAGATTGTGAAGTAAGATATGCTATTTGTGAAATCATATTACAAATATAATATAAATTGAAAGATGAAGAATAACCAATTAATTAAACATATTTAGATGTGAAAGCTTTGATATTTTATCTTTTCAATTAAGTTTCAATACATGATAAAGAATTAGAAGAATATGGAAAATAAAGGGCAGCTCCATTTGAAACAACATTAGAAGTATGTTATAAATTTAAATTTTGAAAGCTATTGAAAAGTAGAGCATAAAAAATATTGACAACACTTTCATAAGATTAATATTTTTATGATTTATTATGGCCAATGGGATTAGAAATCATAAATAATTAAAAATTTTCACCTGGATTATCTCATATTTTTAAATGTTATACTTAGATCTTATAAAAATTAAATATTATTACATATAATTCACCTGTTGCATAACATGTTATAGTAGTTAGAATGTTATTATTAATATAGATTCCTTATTTCTTTCCAAATTTAGGATAAGAAGCTGTTAATTTTTTACCATATTTAATAAAAACATTTGATTTAAAGGTACCTAGTAGTTTTCATTAAAATGTTGATGCTTTAAAATAATATCTTATAAACAAAAGACCTTTGGATGAATTTTATGAAGAAAAAGTATAATAAATTTGGAAGGTTTGTTTATCATTATTCATATAAAATAAAGAACTCTCTTAAATAGAGGAAGATTTTTAAGTTTAACTTAGTATGTATTTAAATTCACAAGCATTAAGATTACCAATTATGAAAATGTAAGCTACATTAATGAGTTTTCTTACTAATTAAGAAACTATTAAATATAATCTAGATAAATTATTTAGTATTTGTCATTAAGAATATACAAATTAAGCATTAAATCTTAATGTTCCAATTTAAGAACCAGATTTTAATCTTAGATTATGTGTAGCTGAATGTTTTGGTTACATAGGTGAAAGACATACACAATTAGTTTTAGATAAAGTGAAGTCAATTTTGAATTGTGAAGTGATTTAAAAGAAGAATACTGGTTCTTTTAAGGAAAGTGTTTTATCAATATTTTAAAAAAGTGGAAGTGATGAATATTTAGCTTCATTCAGAGCTACATTACTTATAGCATATGGTTGTTTAGCAAAATAAGTTTCATTAGAAATATTAGAGAAGAATATCTTACCTAATGTTATGCCATTTATTGGACATGAATAATTATTCAACTCACTTTAAATATCTTTAGAATCTATTAGTAAAGCTATTGAAAGATAAATTGAGAATACTGATGAAGCAGCAGCATCCTCTTTTTTATTAAGTTACTAAAAATATAGAGATTAAGTGTTGAATCATTGTTAAAAAAATATTACTAAGGGTAATGTATTTAGAAATCTTAATACAATTAATTTATAATATAGATTAGCACCTATTGAGTATAATAAAGCTAAATAATTATTGAGTTAACATTTAGATTAGAAATATGATTTATCAATTGAATAAGTCAATATTACATTTTAAAATTGTTTTTTATTATTTTTAGGAACAATAAAATTGGAAGAAGAATCTTAAACTATTTCAGTTTGGTAATCTTTATTATATTTAATAAAATCAATAAAAGATAATGATTAATTAATTGAAATTTTATAGAAAAGTATTTAAAGAGTAAAATTGAAAATGGAATAAAATCATAAGAATTATTTTAAAGTAATTCTGACATTATTATCAATATTATACCGTAATTCAAATGCCAAAAGATCAGTTGTTTTGATTTTAGAAAAGATTATGTTATCTTTGGGAGTATATTTGGATATATATTAAAAAACAGATGAAGAATTCAATACTTAATTAATTAAATCATTAAGAGAGAAATTGCATCATAATGAATTAACAACATTATTGTAAGAATTATAGAATCTCATAAATGAACCAATTATTGAATCACTACATGGATTTGTTTCTCTTATTTAATGTATATATCAAAGTGAATATAATGATCTAAATAGAATAGTAAGTCTAATGTAATCAATTTGTCAATAAGGTACAGGATCATCTTATGAAGAATTAATGTAATATTTTTATTATATTAATTATTTTTAGTAATTCTAATTTAAGTAAAGCAATGGATTTAATAGCTTAAAATAATTTGAGTGATTCCTTAAAAATACTTTTGGATAATCAATCAGAATTTCCAGTCGGTATGTTTCCAAAGTTATTTCTCAATTGTGTAAGTTAAAAGAAAACTTATATGGTATAGAGCTTTAAGTTTTTAACAGATGTTTTAAATAATCCAGAAGGAAGTAATTAAATATTAATATATTTTTAGTAATTACTGGAGATATTGGAAATTATTTAGTTAATGCATCATTATTTATTGGATAATTATTGATTGATGAAAATAAAATTTTAGCTGAAATGTTACCAAAATCAATGGCAAGTATATTGGGAACATTTTTATTAAGATTTATGACTTGTCATGATCCTAAATTATCTGGATCATCTTAATCAGTTTAGACTACTATTTGGGCATTTTAAAATTTATTGACTATTTGCAATATTGAAGGAATATCATAGCATGTTTTTAAGAAATTGTTAATTGAAGAAGAAGTTGAAGATGGAGTATAGGAAATTGTTATGATATATTGTAAAGGAGCATCATTTTAAGATTAATAGAAACTTTTTAATTTTATAGAAGGATTTACTAAAAAAGAATAAGCATCATATAGATTAGGTGCAATAGTTGTTATTAGTTAATTCATTAAAAGTTATAAGAAAGAATATGCTTAATAGAATGTTTATGAGAATCTTTTGAAAACTCTATTAGAATCAGCTGAAGATGATAGTGATAATGTAAGAGCTTAAGTGGCATTTGGATTAGGAGGATTATCATATTATTTAAAATCAGAAGAGACAATTGAATAAGAGTTATTATAAGAAATTATTGAATGTCTTATAAGTTTATTGGATGATTAATAAGAAATTTGTGTTAGAAGTGCAATGATTAGTTTATAAAATTTAGTTGATTCATAAACTGATTTTGTAGCATACATTCCATAGTTAATTTTTACAACAACATCAAATTTTGAAAAAACAATGACAAAAATTAGAATTTCAGCATTTTCTCTATTTTCAAAATTATGTAATACTTGTTTTGTAGAGAATATAATGAATGAATAAATAATGTCTTATTTGAGATAAGCATTAGTATCAGTAATGCTTCATTTATTAGATGAAAGTGTTTAAGTTAGACAAGTATGCAAATTAGCATTGGAACCAATTGGAAATTTACTTCAAATACCATTACTTAAGTAATATTATATCATTTATTATTTTAGATAATTATCCAATAATGAAATTGAAAGTGAATTTGAAATGAGTCATTTGGAAGAGAATGAAAAAATCATTATGATAATGAGTATAAATTTAGAATAAGAACATTTAAATGTAATTATAATTATATATTAATTAGACTTATATAAAAGCATTAATAGAATTTTGTAAGAGTCCAGAACATAATATCAAGGGAGCTGCCTTATTTAGTTTGATTATTCTATTATCATTTAGAGAAATAGGAGATTATAGAGCACATATTGAATAATTATGCAAAGATAACAGTAAAGCAAAATTGATTACAAAATAATTGGTAATGAAGGCAGCATACTATTTATGATATTCCTAAAAATATATAAGAAATGTGTATAATAATAAGCAATTATAATTATTTAAATTAAAAATTACTAAACAAATTTAATTATATATTATAGAATATATATTCTATGACTCATGATTTCATTTTGTCCATCATTTCTATAAACTCATTGTAATCAATTTCTCCATCTCCATCTTTATCAGCATCAGCAATCAAAGCTTTAAAAGTGTTATCATCAAACCCAGAACCATTTTCTACAAAATCATTAATATTATTACTTCCTAAAACTTATTTCAACTCATCTCTTGAGATCTTTCCACTACCATCTAAATCAAACATCTTAAATGCTTAAAATAATCTCTCTTATTTCATATACACACTTTTCTCTATAGTAGCTGCTAAAAACTCTTATTAATATATTTCAAATATATATATATACCTGTATAATTAATAGTTCCTGAACCATCAGTATCAATACTTTTAATAACACTCATAATTTCATTTTATGACTCCTTCTTTAGACCAGTCAATCCATGTGTTAATTCATCCATTGTCAAAACACCATCTCCATTTTTATCTAATTATTTAAATAATTTTCCTAATTCTGAGATTTCTTATTCTGATAATTAAGAAGCTATATAAGTTAAAGTAACCTAAAATAATTATATAAAATTTAATACCTTTTTTAATTTATTAAAATTTGTAAAATTCTTTAAAGATTGATAATTAACACTTAAAAATGAACCTCCAGGTTATTATTATTTCATCCATGGATGTTAAAGAACTTCATGAGATTTAAGACGTTTTTCTGGTTTACATATCATTTTTGAAATTAAATCCTTAGCACCTTCTGAAACCTTTTTGAATTCAGGAACTAAATGAATATTTTGATTAAATACTATTGAATGTAAAAATGCCTTTTTTAACTGCATCCAAAATTTCTGGATCTGTATTCCCATAAAATGGAGGTACACCTGATAAAAGTATATAGAGTATCACTCCTGCTGACCAAATATCACAAGATTCATCATATTTACCATCTAAAATTTCAGGAGATATATAATAAGGTGTTCCTGCTCTAGTTGTCATACTAACTTTTCCTTAAGTCAACTTTTCAACATGATTATCATGGAATATAACTGACAATCCAAAATCTATGACTTTTAGTGGTGAATCATCAGCTTTTGTTAATAATAAAAAGTTTTCTGGTTTTAAATCACGATGACAAATTCCATTTTAATGACAATAGTTGACAGCTTACATAATTTATAAAATAGTTATTCTTGCTTCATTTTCTGAAAAATGACCTTTATCAATAATTCTATCAAATAGTTCACCACCTTCACAAAGTCTTAGATAATTATAATTATTACTCCATTACTAAATAAACATTTCTAACATCTTCAAATGTCTCAAATAATTTAATAATATTTGGATGATCCTATTTATATATTATATATATAATACTAAATTTCGCATTATTTCTATTTCCCTTCTAAAACGATCAGGGTTTCTAACTTTGCTTTTAGGTATGATTTTAATTGCTCTATAATATTTCGATCCCTTTAGTTTAGCTTTTACAACTTAACCATAAGTCCCTTAACCAAGTAGCTTTTGAATTATGATTTGATTTTAATACTTTCTTATGATCAAATTCATAGGCATCTTCAATTTTAGTTGCTGACGATTTTATGAACCATTATTTTTTAATAACAATATTGTTATCCATATTAAATTTAATTTATTTTTTATCATATAAAAATGTATTAAATTATATAAAATTATTGATAAAATTAATTAATCATTCAATTTAATGCAAAAATGATTTAAAAAATACATAAATATATTATTAATATCATCAATTAGGAAGGTATTTTTATAAATGAAGCAATAATTATGGATTCTTTACTTTTACTAATTCATGTATCTGATAATCAAAAAAAATATATACATCTTTTATTTTTGCATTTAATATCTAAAACTTAGATTTCACAGCCCCATGTTTATAATAGACATGTTATTTAATTATTTCTTCATCTCCAGCAATCATTTCAAAAGTTATTAATGTCAATTCCTTATATTCCAATGTCTAAACAATACTCACTTATGCTCTTGCATTCTATTAAATGTATAATACTGGTGCAAAACTTAATAGATATTATCATTTTATTTACTGTTATTGTTCCAATTAACATCTCTTAAATGTTTTCACACATACTTCAGGATAACCAAAGAAATCTGTATTGAGTTTTTAATTTGTTTTTACAACTTGAAAATTGTCTTTATCAACTGTATGAAAATAATAGAAAAATAGATCATTTTCACTTGACAACTCTAATGTTAATTGTTATAAGTCTTTTCCATTTCCCTGTTTTTGATAAATTTAAATTGTCATACCAATATCATTATTCTAACTCTAATAGTTTCAACTATGCTTTGATCCTCTTAGTCTGGAAATTTAATCATAAATGGTATCTCTTGATTGAATATTATCTTGTATCCTCCTTATATACAAGGATCTAAACTTTCGATTTATGAAAAGTCAATTTGAATTAAATTTTCTTACATTTAACAATAATTATAAAATCAAAATCATATTACTCATCTTACTCTATTTTTTATTAATTATATAAACTTCATAACTCTGAAGATCTTTAATATTGATCTTATATAAAGTTTTAAGTCAATCATCAAAGATTATTTATATATATATAATACATACAAAGAATATATAAAATAGAATACCATAGATATATATAGAGTATTTTAATATGATGAATTAATATTGAATAAGATAGTATGATTATTATTATTATTATTAAATATGAATTTCAAAATTATGATAAATATTGACTAGTCAAATTAATAAACTCTCTAGGTTTTTCTACTTAAACCCAATGTCCTGCACCTGCAATAAAATGTATATCTTTATTAATATCTATTTTTGGAAAAACTTATAAAAATCTGTCTCTATCATTGTAATTCACATATTCTGATCTTTCTCCACATATTACACACACAGGACCATCATAAGTACTTCTAAATTCCTTATTACCCTATTTCTAAAAATTAGATATTGAATCAATATTCAATCTCCATACATAATTGACATTTGTTCCTACTTTATTTGTAGATACAAGATTAGTCATTATCAATTTAGTCATTTCTTTGCTCTTTACAAGTTCAAGAATATTAGTCTCAATATCTTATAGACTTTTGTTTTTAAGATCAATTTCTTATAATTTCTTAACATAATTTTTCCCTTGTCTTTCTCCAGGCCCAACATCTACTATTACATTACCAATAGGTCTATCATTAGGAAAGTTTTCCAAATATGAAAATATAATTCTTCCTCCCATTGAATGTCCTAACAAGACTACATTATCTAGATTATGATTAACAATAAAGTGTTTTAAATCACATGCCATTTCTTCATAACTCATTGTCTAAGTTTAAGGAGAATCTCCATGATTTCTAAAATATATATTAATATTTTACCTAATATCTAATAAGTATGCTGATTTTAGATGTTTACTTATTTGAGTACTATTAACTAAATTTTTAAAATTTGTCTTGGAACCCATAAAACCATGTAGGACTACTAAATTAATTTTTCCAATATTGTAATCTTATCTTAGAAACACATTTTGGATTGGTTTTAGATGTCTCATTAGATATGTATAAATGAAATTATGAATAGATTTATGTATGACATACTAAATTAAACAAAATATAGTATTAATGCTATATATTAAAAATTATATATTAATGAATAAAAGCAGCCTGAGTTCATCCAAAATAAAATTATTGTCTTCAGGTGCACCTATAGAAGTTGTTCCAAATGAAATAATTTTCAAAGATATTCAGATAAATTAGACATATGAAATTGCTGTGTATATACGTAACTTGACACAGAATGCTCGTAGAATTAGAGTGTTTTAACCTCATTCACATTTTAGATGTGATTATGAAATGCAAGGGTATAAGGTCTGTATATTTAATGTAGTGCAATAGCAGCTGGACTTTCTATGAAATTAATTGTCACTTTTGAAACAGCCACTCTGGATACATTTGTAGATTAATTAAAGATTGTTACTGATAGTTAGTATAGTATAAATATTCCATTACATGCATTTCCAGCATAAGCAGCGTATTAAAATATAATAAATAAGGATAATTTATGAGCCATTTATAAATTTAGGATTTGTGAGAGTAGGTAAAGAGAAAGTGGATAAAATACATTTTAAAAATGAAGGAAAGGCATCAGGAAGAGTTGAATTGAAATTAGATAGAATTGTAGAATTTAGAATTGAACCTAATTCATTTACACTAACACCAGGATAAGAATATACTGTAACTGTATTCTATAGACCAAGAGAGGCAGGAATATTTAGAGGAATTATTGAAGTAATAGCAGATGGTTAATAAAGTGGATTAAGTTTAAAAAATCCAATTGATATTAATGCAACATCAATTGAATTTACAAGATTCTTAATAGATTAAAATGGAACATAAAGTAATCATTTTAATTTTGGTACAATGTTTTATGGATAATAAAAATAAATTGAAGCTTATTTAATTAATAATACACCTAAATAATAGAGATTTAAAGCAAAATTAAAAAAAGGATTACATGAAAGAGAAGAAACATTAAAATTATAGACACCAGCAGAATTAGGTTTAGAATAAACAGAGAGAATTATGGAATGTTGGCCAGAAGAAGGAATAATTGAATAATATTCATAAGTGACAATAATATTTAAATGTAAACCTAAAGTAAATGAGGAATTGTAAGTTAGAACACGTTAATATGCATTAAATTAAGATAAGAAAATGGAATCAGAAAAATTTGATTATTCAGCAATATTTGATTTTAATGATGATGAACCATTAATGAGTCATCTTTCTGTTAATTGTATTTGTCCATAGATTAAATTTCCTCCTACTTAAACCTTATAATTTGGATAATGTGAAGCTAATTCAACTAAAGATATTGTATTTGAAGTGTAAAATATGTCTAAAGAATAATCTATATTAATTGGATTTCCAACAATACCTTATTTTACTGTAAATCCTTAATTAAAATAATTGGCTATAAATGAAAAAGTCAATTTTTGGGTAAGTTTTAGACCAAAACATATTGGTTAATTTTCAAATGTATTAAATGCAGAATTACTTGGTGGAGTATTCAAGATTCCAATAAAAGTGACAGGAGTATGTTCATAAATGTTACCAAAACCATAATTTAGAAAAGGAGCAGAATCTGAAAGATAAACATTAGAAATATCTAAAGATAGATCTATATCTGGAATTATTAAAACATCAACAGATTAAGTAGTACAATCATTTGAGATGTCTTAATCTTTAGTTTCATTGTCTTAATTAAGTATGGATAAGATTGAAGAGATGAAAAAACATAATAAAGAAAAATATAATGAGTATTTGAAATAACATAGAGAATAAAGAATTAAGAAAGATAAAGATTCATAAATAAAATTAAAATTTAAATAGATGACTGAAAGAATGAATTAAATAAAAAATGAATCTTTAATACTTAAAAAAAAGAAATAATAAACAACAGTAGAAGATAAACTTGATCCACCTATTGATTATGAATTTGCTGTTGGGATGAATGATGATGTTTATGAATAAAATTTAAATTTACCAGATGCTAATGAATCATTATTTGTTACTAAACCTATATATCATTATGAACCATAAACAAGAGTAAAAGAGGGTAATGTTATAAAACCATTTGATCCTGATCCAAAGACAGTACCTAAAAAGAAGTTTCCAAGTGAACCAAAAACACATAGTGAAATTAGAGATACTACTACTGAATTAAATGCTCAATAATTATTAAAGATATGTGCAGGACCAGTTAAAATGGAATTTGGTAATATATTTGTGAAATCTATGGCAATAAAATATTTTTATGTAAGAAATGAATTACGTAGTTCAATATCTGCAAGAATCTATTCTGATAAAGAAGATTTAGCATATACATATATGAAACCTTAAATAATACCAAGTGGATAAACTGCTGGATTTGATATTTGCATTTGTTCTAAATAATTAGGAATGTTCAAATCACATTTAAAATATATAATCAATGAAAAACATATTTTTGAATTATAGGTATAAGCAATGGTTGAGAAAGTATTTTTAGAAATGAGTAGATAATAATTGAAATTATCATTTACTGAAGATAATGCAGAAATGGAAACATCTGAAATCTTAAGATTAACTAATAATGGTAATGCTGAAGCTAAATTTAAATGGATTACATCAGAAAAGAAATTATTCTATGTAAAACCAGAAGAAGGTGTTGTTGCTTCTGGTAAACATTTAGAATGTTAGGTATTTTATAGACCCTCATTTGGAGGAAGTATATAATATATTCAATAATCAACAGGATAATAACAATAATATACAGCAGCAACAACAAAAACAGAAGAAGAAAAAATTACATTAAAAACAGAAGAAGGTATTGATTAAACAATTAAATGTATTGGTATTGTAACAGAACCAAAATGTTCTATTAAATAAGGTTAATTAGATTTTAAGGATGTTATTTTATGTAAACCTGAATCAAAATTAATTAGTATTAAAAATCATTCTAAATCTACTGCTGTTTTTTCAATAAAATCATAAATAGAATGTTTAGAAATAATACCTATGAAAGGGAAGATACTCTCTGAAGAAACTAAAGATATTCAAGTTAAATTCTTTAGTAAAGAAGAGAAATCTATAAAAGGTGAAATTGTAATATAAATAAGAGGAGGTAAAATTATGAATATTCCATTTTCTGCTACATCCATTATCCCAAAAGTAGAAATTGAATAAGACATCTTTGAATTTGGAAATGTTACTACTTTAGGTACTAGTAATTCTATTCCTTTAACATTTATTAATTCTTCTCCTGTGACTGTTGAATTAATTTTAGATTTAAGAACACAAAATGATAATCCTAGAGCTCCAGATGGAATTGAATGTTTAGAAATTAAACCTATAGATGAAGAAGAATAAGTTATGCATTCTATTCATCCTGATTAAGAAGAAGATGAACCTAAAGAAGAAGATCCTTTAGATGATGTATCAGAAAAGTCAGAACCTATTGAAATAGAATAGAAATAATTCAAATAATATAATATTACTATTGCAGGAGGAAAGACTCTTTAATTTAATATGAGATTCTCACCTAAAGATGTTAAATAATATTCATTTGAAATTCCTATTACTTTAGCTAGATATGGTCCATTACCTTCATTAATGAGGAAAGTTACATGTCGTGGACTTAAACCTAAGTTTTTAATTGAACCACAATAAATAGAATTTAAAAAGAAGATTATTACATCTCCTGATAAATGTTTTCCTACAATTGAAGAAATAAAATTATCAAATCCAGATAGAAAAGATGTTCATTGGAAAATTGATTGTCAATCACTTAAATCTGAAAAAATATTTGCTATTGAACCTAATGAAGGTGTAGTTCCTAGTGGATAATAAATAAAAATTAAAGTAAAATTCAATCCTTATGGACCTGGATAATTTAATGGAACAGTATAATTATACATACTTGAAGATCCAGAGATTCCATAAACATTACCTTATGTTGAAATTACAATGAGTGGATCAGGTGCTTATCCAAGATTATTATTTGATAAAAAAGAAGTGATATTACCTGTTGTACCTTTAAATATATAATCTAGATGTTAGTTTAGAATAATTAATGATGGATATGAAAATTTAAATATTAAATATAATTGGGCTTAAGAAATTAGTAATTATAATTTGGAACTTAAATTTCCTGAAGGTTCTACTTTAGGTGTTGCTAAAAATAAATTAACTGTTGAAGTAGTATTTAGTAATAAAAAACCATTAAGTTTTACAACAAGAGTTGAATTTATTGATGAAGCTAGAGTTTATATATTATATATATCTGGTACTACAGATAATTGTATATTTACAAATTAAAGTTTTTTATGGAGAATGGGTAGATATCAATTTGAAGTTGAAGATAAAAAGCCAATCATGTATGTTGAAGATGAAAATTTCGATTCAGATAATGAAAAAAATCCTAAGCATAATTTCTCTGTTAAATCTACTACCTCATCAAAAGGAAATGCTAATTTAGGTTATACACCAATAAGAAGAGATTTGTTAGAATAAGCAAATGAATATATTGTTAGATGGCTTAATTATCATGTACTTACTACAAGTATTAGTACATATCCAGAAGATGTAATTAATTCTAATGGATAATAAATTTTTGAATTAATTACTTTTCTAACTGGAAAAACCACATTTTCTTATAAATAGAATATTGATCCTAATTGGAAAAAATCCCAAAGAGCTGATGTTCTTTATAAATAATATGATGAATTAATAAGATAACTTAAAATTGAAGGAGCTTTACTCAATCATATAAGATCAGAATATTTATTAGGTTATCCAGATTATTTAGCTTGGCTTAAGAATTAACCTCCTTCTAAATATGAAAATGTTCCAGAAAATCTTTTAAGATTAAATCTAACTAAATATACTTATATTTAATATGATTCTTGGATCTCATTATTTTATTAAATACTAAAGATTTATTATTTGAATAGAATCACAGCTAAATCCTTTAAGACTTTACCAGGAATTCCATAAAATAAATTGAATATTCCTGAATATTATTTAGATGGATCTAATGTAATTTCTTAACCTGAAGGTATTCTACTATATTTTTATGAAATATGTTATGAGATCTAACATTCTGCATAAAAAAGAATTAAAAATTTTGATTTAGATTTTAAAGATTCTATCTTTATATCAGATGCTTTAACTACATTTATTGGACCATCAATGTCTAAATTTTTTGTTAATTTAAGAAATGTATGCAATAGTGAAGATGATTATAAACATAATACAGAAAAATTATTTCCAGCTTTATAAGATTTTGGTTTATAATCTCATTTATTACCTTAAGATGTTTATCATCCTAATTGTAGAGAAATGATAATGATGTTAGTTTAATTCTTTTTTGCTTTACCTTATTATGTACCATAAAAAGATCCTATATTTTTTTCATGTGTTCTTGGAGAAGAGGTTATTAAAAGTATTGAACTTAAAAATCCAACTCAAAAACCTATTAGTTATTGGGTTAAATATGAAGGTCATCCAGATTTTCAATTAGATGGAGATGAGAGTATAAAAATAGAACCAGATGTACCTTATTAATACAAGATTAAATTTACATCTCGTATTTCATAACCTGTTACTGGTAGAGTGATATTTACTAATAAAAAAGAATCAAATGTATAAGCAGCAGCTTTGGTTTTTGAATTAAAATCAAGTATAACAGGAAGGAAATCTGAAAAGTAATGGAATGTTAGTTCAATTTTATATGAGATTTTTGATTTTTAAATATAGATAACAAATAAATTTTTATTTGATGGAGATTTTTAAATAATAATAACACATGAGAAAAAATAATAAGATTAATAGAAGAAGAGAGGTAAATAAGTTATATAATAAATATAATAATAAAATTAAGAAGAAGAATTTCCTGCATTTTTTTGTTAATAGGATAGAATTAGAATAAGAAAAAATTAAACAATAAATTTAATTTTATAATATATTCCATTAATTATGGAAACACATAAATGTTAAATTGTATTTACAGATCCTCAAGTAGGAGAATTTTAACATGATTTATAAGGAACAGTAGAATTACCTAATTTATCAGGTGAATTTAAACCTGATAAATTATTATATGTAGAATAAACAATTCAAATTCCTTATTAAATTCCATTTAAAAATGAATAAATTTTAAGAGCAAGATAATAAATATTGCAAATAATGTAATATAAATAAAAGATAAAATAATAATAAAATATAGCAGATAAAACAAGTTCATCCAATAATTTTTTAAATAATCCTAATTTCCCTGGAAGTAATTCAGATTAAATTACATTTGAATTAGATGTATTTCCAGCAACATAATATGTATAAGTACCTAACACACTTACTATTGCAGATAGTACTAAAAAATCAACAGATAGAAATAATGATGGTAAATTACCTATAACATATGCATTTAAAAATGCTACTAAAGATTTTAATGTTATATTAACATTAAAAAATAAATTTGATATCAGAAGATATAAATTAACTGCTCAAGTATTACCAAAAGTAGTCAAAGCTACTTTAGAATTTAGAATACCAGCTAGATAATAAGTGATTTAGGAAGTACCAATAGTTAATGGATCAGATAAAGATTGGGTTATTAAAGTATAATTAACTTAATCTGGAGATAATTTATTTTAATGTCCAAATAAAGAATTTATGATAAAAAAGAAAACAACTGGATAATTTCCAATTACATTTCATCCATAATGGATAGCTTAAAGTGAAGCTAAATTAATTTTGAGTAATCCAATAACTAATGATATGTTTGAGTATGATTTAATTGGGATAGGTGAAGAACCTGTTGCAGAAGAACATATAATTTTGAATTGTACTCCAAGAAAGTTATTAAAAAGAGATATTGAATTAAGAAATTTGACAGATAAATAAATAGTCTATAAAGTTGAAACTGATTTGATTTATGCAACAGGTCCATCTTAAATTATAGTGGGAGCAGGTAAAAAAGCTATTTATTAATTAACTGTTTAACCAATTTTATCTGGATAATATACTGGATCTATAACATTCACAGAAGAGAATGGAAGATATTTATGGTATACAGTATTTATGAATACAGAATCACCTAAATCATTACAAACATTAGAATTATCTTGTTTAATAAGATAGGCAACTGTGATTTAATTGACATTATAAAATCCACTTCCAGAAACAGCTATTTATGAAGCAATAATTAGTGGTGATGGATTAATAGGAGAAGATTAATTTGCTATTGGAGCTAATAAAGAGGGTCTTTATGAATTGACTTTTGCTCCTCTTAAAGTAGGTAGATGGAGAGGAAGTGTTGCATTTGTAAATAGATAATTAGGTGAAGTATGGTATGAATTCATATTAACATGTGAAGAATAACCTGTGATAAAATTAAATTTATTAAAGGCATCATTAGGAAAAGTAGAATAATAAGTAGTTATACTTGAAAATCCATCTGATTAAAAAGTAACTTTATAATGTAGAATATCTAATCCTACAAATTTTGATATATTACCAGATGAATTAATCATATAACCTTTTGATTATCTAAAAGTTAGTATAAGATATACTCCTTCATCATTAGATTAAATAGAATAATCTGAAATAATATTTACATCACCCATAGGTAAATGGCATTATTTAGCATTTGGTAATGGACTTCCTCCAACTAAATTTGCAGCTGCCACTGTTAGTATAGGATTGAATAAAGATTTCAGTTCTGTTGTTCATTTTAAAAATCCATTTAAAGATCCAATTACAGTTAAAATTGATTTAGATGCATAAGGACATAATAAAGATATTTTTAGATTATTAACAAGCAAAAATGATAAAGTTTTAATTCCAGGAATGAATGTTTTATAAATTCCTTATTCATTTGTTCCAAGAGAAATTACAAGTTATTATGCTGAAGTCATTGTTTAAATGAATGAAAAGATTTCATGGATATTCCCTATTAAAGGTGTTACTGAAAGTGTTTCAAATTAAACTTTATTTCATTTTAAAGCCAAATGTAGAGATAAATGGGAGGATGAGATTAAAATAGGTTTATAAGGAATTGCTTAAAGTTTATAAGCTGATGATAAATTTGAATTCGAGTTAGGTAATGTACCTGTTGATTTATAACAAATGATTTAAAAATGCTTTAGTGTTAAATGTACTAAAAATTATTTAAGTAATCCTCATGAGAATCTTCATTATGCAGTAAGATTTTAACCTATGAAACCATTTAAAGCTAGTCTCGAATTCATTGTTTTGAGATAAAGTGGAGGCAGATGGAAGTATTCATTTATATATATATATATATTTTTAGATATAAAATAATATTAGAAGCAACACCACCTGATGAAGATGATGTTATTATTATTAGTTCTCCTTTAAATAAAACTACCAGTGTCTCATTTAAACTTACAAATAAAACAAAAAACTATGCTAAATTTAATGCAGGTTTCACTCCAGATTCTGATGCAGAATTTTCTATTATACCTAAAGTTGGTGATCTTGAACCTTATGGTAGAGAAGGAACTACCTTTGTAATATCATTTACTCCTATTGAATATGGCAAAATTAGAAAAGGCAAATTAATCATCTAGACTGATGAGATGTACTGGTACTAATTATTAATTTTATATTTTTCTAGGTCATATGTCATTAAAGGTATACTTCCAAGATATGTACCTCCTCAAATTAAACATTCATCTATTGACACTCATCTAAGTTAATCTCTCATACAACAGTCATCTCTTATGGATCTATCCAAAAACTTTGTTATTGATAATATTAAAAAAGCCAGATAACTCACTCCTCCTTCATCTAGAAAGTAAATCTTATCAGAAGTATCCTTTATAAAGAAATGAGCAATGTCAATTATTTTAAACAATTTATATTATAAATATCTACTTATATATTCTTTATTTTTATATATATATTTCATGAAAATATTGAACCATGTTCATTTCCTCTTAAAGCATGTTATATTTTTGGTTAAACACAAGCTTCAACACAAGTCACCAAATCTCTATAAGGATACATCTTACTATATATTGAAATAATACACAATTCTTTTCAGGATCAGCATTTTTCAATGATAAGAATGCCTTTACACATCTGTCATATTTATCATCATACCATTTACATTATGGACGACACATTTAAATAACCATATCTTTTGGATCTTTACCATTTTAAATCATATTATGAATTTCTGTCTTATAATTTTCACTGTTCATTAAATTTATTTTTAATATCTCTTTATTTAATTTTTATAAAAATCTCATTTCCTTTCTACTTTCAAACTTAAATCAAATATAATTTTTAATACATTCTTATTTTATCAATCCCTTTTTATATTATACTAGTAAGTAAATTGGAGAACTATTTATTGAAATAATGTGTAATTACATAAATTATTATTAATTAATAAATGTAATATATTGAGAGTTAATTATTATATTCAAAAATTTAGGGAATAAATATCAAATTATTCTTCACTAAATATAAGCCTTGTCGTTGATTCTTTTACAAATTGGGCATTTTTACCTTTATTTTAACCAATTTTCAATACATTCTTAATGAAAAGAATGAGAACATTTTAAATCAGCCCTTTTTTCTAAAATATCTTCTAAACATATTGAACAATTCTTAATTCCCTTTATTTCCCTTTATTATTACTCAATATAAATATTGCATTAAGTAATATGTTCCTTTAGATAAGCTTTTAATATTGGAGAAGAGCAATATGGACATTTAACTTCAATCCAAAAGTTACCTGGACATATCTCTAAGTGATCGTTCTGATAAAGCTTAATAATCTATTCACCACATTATTAGCATTGTTATTCAATTAAATTGTAATTTCCTATTTGCTATTAACACAAATCGATATGATTCTAATAATATTAATGTAGCATTTCTTCATCACAAAAGGACATCTTATGAGATCAGATTCAAACTATTCAATTTATTATAATTATTCTAGATAATTTTATTCTAATTCGAATTATGATTAATTGAAAATTGATTATTCATCCATATAACTTATTTATTCCTATTTTTATTAATTTTCTATATTTATGGGTTAGTCTTATATATATTAAATAGATGTATCCTCTGTAGTCTTTTCTATTAAATTATTATCCATATAAATTATATTAAATTCTATTATTTGTAAATAATTTATAAATTGGTTTTTAATAAAATTCTATTAATGTATTTCTAAAATTAAGAAAGATTGGATTTATTGTATAAATTAAATTAAAATAATAATTTTAATTTCTTTAACTATCTTTGATACAATATATGTAATGTCTATATTTTTATGTAATTTAAGAGTTTATAATTTTTATTCGTCTTAAGTTGTAATTTCAATACTTTTACTTAAGAATCTTTGAATTAAAAGTATTTATATAAATTCATAATATTATAGAAATATACTTATGAATAAGGATAAACAGATAGAACCTGTATTATCAAGATTCTTATTTATTGAGAACATTTATTAATTTACCTTATATAATAATCACAATGATAGGATTTATAAGTTTATATCCATATGATCATTTAAATTAGTATTTATTTCAATAAGAAATTTAATATTAATTAAATTACTTGAAAAACAATGAGGGAAATTTTAGTATTATAATTGGGGGGTTTTGGAAATAAAATGGGTGTGAAATTTTGGGAAGAAATGTTAAAAGATAGTGAATTTGGTAATGATAACGAATAAGGTAATTAAAATAATAAATTATTACTTAATACATCTAATATTGTGTATTATAATTTACATGAAAAGAAACCACTTCCTAGATGTATTTAAGTTGATTTAGGACAGGATTTACCTTATTCAAATATAGACTTTAATCCATGTAATTAGTTCTCATTTAATTATTCATCTGGCAATAATTTCGGATTTGTAAAGAATCATTGTTCAAATGAAATTATTGATATTCTTATTGATAGTACTCGATAAGAAATTGAAAAATGTGACTCATTTTAAGGATTCTAAATATTTGCATCCATAATTGGTGGTACCGGTTCTGGATTATCAGCTGTTTTATCATAAAAATTAAAAGATGAATATAATAGTGTAATAACTTAATGTAACTTATTGGTTCCATCAATAAAGTAAAATGACACATGTGTTGTTTCTCCTTATAATGCTTTTTTAGCCTTAAATTAATTGATGGAATCTACATAATAATTAATTTTTTTTGATAACTAAGGACTTAAATAAAATTTGAGTAGATTAGGAATATAATTTGATTATGATGATGCCAATCTTCATGTTGCTTAAACAATATGTTGTAATTCTTCACCATTTCGAAATCCTGGAGATATTAATTCAAGTTTAAGAAAGCTTTCCACAAATTTAGTTCCTTTCCCAGAATTAAAATTGTTTACATGCAGTTAATCTAATAATTAATTCAGTGATTACTATAAAGAATATTTAAAGATGGATGAATACTAAATTTTTAAAGAATTAATGTCATCTGATCATAATCAAGCTAGTACTGATTACACTCATGGTAGATTTCTTACAGCTGCACTTAGTTTAAGAGGTAATATATCAAATAAGTAAATTGACAAATATAATTCTCTTTTCTAGCATTTTCTAGAAAATAATGCATATTATAATAGAGCATAAAAGGCAAAAAAGATTAATGGAGTTAATATGTTTTTTACTAATATTTGTAAGAAACCATTATCTAATTATGAATTTTTTGGAAGTTCAATAATTAATTCAACAAGCATTGCTGAATAATTGAAAAACTTAGATGAAAAATTTAATAAAATGCATATTCGAAAATGTTATATGTATAAATATACACAAGAAGGAATTGAAGAGGATGAATTTATAGAAGCTAAATCTAGAGTTGAAGATATTTGTCGTTATTATGAAGATAAATACAATGAAGATGTAGGAGAAGATCATGAAAATTGGGAATGAAAAATAAAATAATGAAGATACATATTATTATTTGAATTTTTCATGAAAATTTAAGTATTTATTACAATACTCATTTAATTCTTCATAAATTTACAATTCAATTAACATATTCTAATTTATATTTGATCAAAATAAAATCTTACTTAATAATCATATATTAATTAAAACAATAATTACTCCTTTTTTAAGTTCAATCTATATTATCTAAAATCACTTTTTATTAATTTTTCTAATTGATTAATTGTGTTTTCATATATATTTTGTATAATATATTAATTAATCTTTATTCAAAAAGTATTTATTAAACAATAAAATATTGGTTATTTATGATTTTAAGTTATTGATATTATTCTTCTAAACATATATTTAGTTTACTATATTTTAAATATAAAATAATAAAGTCATCCAAAAAAAAGAGTACTAGATGTACTCTTAGTTTATTTTGAATTAAATTCATAACTATATCCACTAAATAAATTTTGAACTGAATTCTTTTTTAATAAAAGCTTATTTTCTTTTATCAATTCATCTTAACTATCATTATCTTCACTAATTTAATTCAAATATTCTACATTATCATCAATTTACTTCTTAATATTAAAATTTTACTTTAGGAATGTAAGGAGACTCTATTTCTTTATTTAAAAGTTTTTGCCATGGATAATTACGAAGCCAAGGATGATTTTTAACTTCATCAGGTCCTTTAAATCCAAGTCTATTTGCAGGTTTTCTCTAAATTAATTTATTAATAAAATCTGCTGCCTCCACTGACCAATCATCAGGAATTTCAGATTTTTTAATTTATACTTATCTGGTTAAAATTTAATCACGAATTTCTTGTCTTGATCTTCCATTATAAGGTCTTCTTCCTAACATAAATTCATAACCCATAATTCCTAATGCAAAATAATCAACTGCTATTGTATGATTCTACCTACACATTACTTCAGGTGCTAATCAATAAATACTAATGATATATTATTACCCATATATCCAGGTGTTCCACTTGTATCTTGAGAATTCTCTTATTTCCATACTCTTGCAATTCCTAAATCAGTCAATCTTGCATATCCTTATTTATCTAATACAATATTTTCTGGTTTTAAATCTCTATGAATAATATTATTATTATGTAAGAATTCTAATGAAAGTAATACACAAGCAATAAAGAATTTTGTTTAATGTTCTTTAAATCTTCTCATTTTTCCAATATGATATCTAAGATCACCTCCTGTCAATAAATCCATAACTAGATAAAGATTGTCTTTATCTTAAAAACAATAATTCATATTAATTAAAAATGGATGTTTGAATTAAGCCAAAAGATTACGTTCATTCATAACAGAATTAACACTTCTTTTAGCAATTATTTTAGCTTTTGACATCTCTTTCATTGCATAATATTATTTACTTTTTTTCATTTCAACTTTCCAAACTTTTCCAAAACCACCTTTGCCAATTACATAATGAAATTAAAAACTATATTTATTAATTTGTATATTGCAATCTACAATTAAAGTTTCTTCTTCTTCTTCATCACTTGATTAATGTTTTTCTTATTATTTTAAAATACTCTTTGAACTTTCATTTTTCGATATGTGAGATAAATGTTAAATACTTAACATAGAGTTAAATATATTATCAAATCCTTTGTTTGATTTAAATTAGCTTGGTACTTAAAATTCTTGTTTTTTTATTTAAATCTATGGAATCTCATGATTTATTAATTAATATGGTTTATCAGCAGGTTTATTTTCTTTGACTAAACTATTTTATTATTTAAATTAATTGTCTGGATATTTAATATTATGAGTACTTGATTATTTAAGATTAATAAAAGGAGATATTTTTTAAATTGATGTATTTGGAGATTGAGAATTATTATTTCTCCCTGTATATCTATTTATTATATCTAAATTATCATAAAATGCTGGTTTCATAGGTGATTAATCTTTATATTTACTTTATATATCTAAGTTTGATGATTATTAATGATGCAATTATGAATTGATTAATAATTTTGATTATTTTAATTCTTATTTCAAAAATGTTTGAATAGGGCTACGTGAACTTGTATTCTAGTTTAAATAATCTTGTTTTTCTTTAAAAAATGAAGTACTTCTACTACTATTAATATTTGAAGCACTTTAATTTCTTAAATGTTTAGATTGTATTTAGATTTATGATTAATCTTATTTTTTCATATTTAATTGAACAATTTTTATTTTTTAAGGTGTAATACTTCTTTATTAAGATTAATTGTTTTTATTTTTTGATACTAAATGAGCTAATTGAAAAAAACTTGTAAATTAACTTAAACCTAATGGTGATTTTTGAGTTTATTTTATTGTTTCACTTGGTTGTTCCTAACAATATATAATACAATAAATTTACAATTTTAGGTTTTATATAATTCTATTTTGAGGGAAATAAATCCTTCAAATTGCGGTGGTTAGACATTTAATATATTATAAACAATTAATATTTTATATTGATATTAAAATAAATATAGCAAATATCATTTTTAAGATACCAATTATCTTAAGATTAAAATTTAAATTATTTAAAATTATCATATCTTAATTAAGATTTTATTTATAATCTAATATATTATGATCAAACATTTTCATTAAAAAAGTTAATTGTTTAAATGTATATGAAAAATTATAAATTATCATATACAAGAATCAATTTTTTTCAATTTTAACTCTTATTATTTTTACATTTCCCATATTATAGAATTTCTTTGATTTTTTCCTTATTTAATTAATTATCTTATTAATAATTTAGAAATAATTATAAAATAATAAAGTAATGTACTCGCCCTTTTTCCAATTTCCTAAATATCTACCAAATAAGTTTTATAGTATATTTTTTATAATTTAGCCATGTAGATGTACAAATTCCTTGTGTTTTATCAAAATAATTAAAAAATCTTAAGTTCTATATTAACTATGAGCATGTATATTATCGTCCAACTATTCACTCATATAACGTCTTCCAACTTTTCAATAACATACTCCATATCCTGTCATTTTATACTATTTTATACCCATAAACATTAATAACCTTTTCCGTCTAGAAAATATTAACAGGATCCTAGACGATCAATAGATTCTTTCATATCTACTTCTATCCATCCAAGTTCAACCATGTTGTTTACTCTTTTATCTCTAGTTACTTCTGTTTTCTCCAGTTATAAGCACAATTAAGCACCACTCTTAGGTCTTTTCGAATCACTTGGTAAAGCACACAAAATCTTATCTTTTTAATAATTTCACAACTTCTAATAATAAAGTTATTCTATATAGTCATAAGATTTATTACACTTAATTCAATATTATAATGATAATTAATGAATATTTAAATATATATGCAATTCGTTATTGAAACATATGTTTAGGAAATTAATTCTAATAAATAGATCTTGTTGTATTATATAAATAATGGTTAACTTATAAAATAAATGAATTAAAATCTTTTAAATGTTATATCATTTAAGTCTATTCAAAAGTTGATAAAATCAAGATATGTTGAAAAATAAACAGAATTATTAATAGAATTTTCCAAACCAACTAATTTTTAAAGAGAAGAAAAACAGCAATAATTGATTATTATGGATACATCTAATTGTTAGTTAAATGTTATATTAGTTCCAATAATAATTATGAAAACATTCTAAATTTAATCAAGAAATCTTTTTATTCTAAATTTTAATTTTGATCATTTGATAAGTTTAGAAATTAGATATAAAAATATTAATATTTACTTTGACTGAAATAAAAATCTTATAATTTATGCTATAATTGATTATTGTTTTACAATGATGATCATTTTATTTAAAGAGGAATAAAATTAATTTATACTAATATATATAATAATCCCTAAATCTATTAAATTTTTAGCATCTATAAACACTATTTTATAATAAATAGGAAATAAATTAGCTAGAAAAATGATAATAATTAAATTCTCTTTTTTAAAAAATTATAAAAGACAATATATTATATAAATTAGAATAACTAGAGTTTATTCTGAAGATTATAAAGTTTATTTATGTAATGAGATTTACTATTATTAAGTAAAATATCTTTTTATTTGTCTTTAGAATAAAACCTATTATTATATATTTTGAAGTAATTCCTAAATTTCTAAATTTTTGAAAAGTAATATTAAAAATATATGTATAAATAAATCATTTGTTCTGAATAAATTATCTAAACAAGGATATAAATTAAAAAAAATGAATATTAAGACCTATAAAATAGTATATAAAAGTAGATTAACATATTAAAATTAAACCTTTATTTGAATTTTTTTATTTAAAGAAATATAGAAATATTACAGAAACCAAATTAATTCAATTAATAATATCTAATAAAAGGATGTATAGGTTGAAACTTATAATAGTGATATGAAATTTAAATTACAATAAATTGATAGGCTATATTGATCACTTATTTATTTAGAAGCATTGAATAATTAATAAAATACACATCACATTAAAAATCTCTATTTAAAGAATTTCTTAAGACTCCAAATCTAATATACTCCAGATGCTAAAAGAACAACTATTTATAAAATAGTAGTTTGAGTAACTCTTCTACTGATATCAATAGATTGAGTTGTTAATTTATCTTCTTGTTCTCTATTCAATTATTATAGTGAAATGAAATCATCAGTTCTGTTTTTTAAGGCTGAGATTCTATCTATATAATATATAATAATTATGTTATACCTTTGATTGATTCAACATGTGTTTTATTAGCAGCATCTTGTAGATTATGATCAACTCCTTATTGTATTTTAATAGAGTATTTATACTCATTCACACTCCAAAATTACTTAGACTTTATGACACAGAACTTGTATCTGCCCACTATATCAAATAGATATATGAATACTTGTTTTAGCAGTGAATGACATTTTGTTCTTTCCTTCTATAGTTTTAGCAGTTTTCACTATATTACCATCAGGGCCATATACATTTAAAGTGATTCCATCTTTGATCATTTTTGGAATGTCTAAGTATACAATAAACGAATACCTCTTTTTTCATTTTTGGCCACGCCTTCAGACATCAATTCATGATAAATTACAACAATCTAAAGAATAATAAAATAGAATTTACAGTCTGACTAGGCACTTCATCTGAAAAACACTTTTCTACTCCTTCTTTAGCATAGAAGCTGATACATTGATTCAAATTGATTAATAGTGCAATTACAATAAGGTATTTCATATTAAATGTATTTAATTATTAATCTATAAACAATATAGTTTTACTATCAATTCTCATTAATATAATACATTCTTAATTATAGATTTATATAAAATCGATGATGATCTTTTAGATATGATAGAATCAACTAAAATGGACAGGTCATTCAATATATAAAATATATTGGTTGAGCGTATTCAAAATTTAATTGAATGCCCAAAAAATATCTAAATTGATCATAAAACAAATTGATTTTTATAAAATACTTAATATAAGAAGGTTTAGAAAAAGACTTAGAAATTAAACAGACTTTTTATTTGTAAATCTTAAAATAGAATTATATTGATAAAGGATTTATGTTTATTATATATAAGCTTCTTGATAGAAATTAGAAATTAAAAAGATATAAATTTAATACAATAATTTATATTTTATTAGCAATATCTAAGAATCAAAATTATTGATTATCTTTACTTGTCTTTAACATATAATTAGAATTAATAAATATCAACATATATATAATAAATTTTGTTTTTTGACATACATTACAAAAGAACAATTCATAAAGATATTTCAAATTTAATAAATATGAAGAATCAAGTATTAGATTTGCAAAACTTTTTTTATTTATATATATTAAATATAGTCTTACAGAAGATCATGTAGAAATCCCTGAGAAGATCGAAATTAAGGTTAATTCAAGAAAATTGAAGTTAAATGTACTGATGTTAATTAATAATTTCAGGACCAAGAGGAATCTTGAAAAGAAATTTTAAACATGTATCATTGGATATTTAAATTTAAAAGAAATTGATAAAATAAACAAAGAAGAAGAAATCTAGAGTTAGTATTAGAATATGGTAATCTTACAAAAAGCAAAGAAAATTATTAGAAAAATTAAATGCTTACAAGGAGTTTTAATTTCAAGAAATGAATGTGAAAAATTAAAGTATAATAAAAAATATTTGAAAATTTAAATGTCTTAACATTTATTGGTAACGATCTTAATAATGTATCATTAACATATACTTTAATTCATTAAGCAAGTGTTGTTAAAAATAAAGATACAGATTTATTATTTTATGATAGTTGTTATTATCAGATAATTCTTGGATGGTATCTATGTTTCAAAAAAAACGATTAGATGTTTGATATATATTATAAAGCACAATATGAAATACATTTCTATTTTTGTTGTGGGTATACAAATACATATATCATATTTCTTCCACTTTGTAATCATGATTTTCAAAGAAATTGATTTCTTTCTTCTTCCTTGAATTATACTTTTCTAAGAATCTTAATCTATTGCTAACAATTCTTTCAATAAGTTCATCAGCAGTTTGTTTATTAACAGCCTATATTTATTAATAGATTCCTAATTTAATTGGTAATTCATAAGGATCATCCATTGTTTTTTAAGAGCAAGTACCTTCAACAATTAAATCAATTTTGAAATTTTTGATTAATTATTCATTCACTTTATATGGAACACCCATAATAACTTCATCTACATATTTTAAGGCCAACAAATTTAAAACTCTTTCTTACAAATTCAATATTGGATAGTTTTTCCCTTTTATTTTATTGATAGTCTAGAAATGTAGGAATTATTTTATCTACCTCATTATCATAAACTCCAACATACAAGAAATCTCCCAATTCTTTGGCTTTCCTTAAAACATCAACATGACCTTGATGCAAAATATCGAATGATCCATCAATATAAACAATTTTATCACCAGGTTTAGGTTTCTTATTGTTACTAAATTACATTATTCTTCTTGTTGTATTCAATATTTTGTTATTCAATGTTTATTCAATTGAAGCTTAGTCTATCTCTAAAGAATTAATATTAGATGCTTCTACTATGGTTTACTTTTGAAATACTTTCTAAAAATATTTAAATCAATAATTACTTTCTCTTCCCACATTACTTCTTTAGTCATCAATAGCATTCTACCCACTATATCAGTTGTACTGATTCCTTCTGTTCTTTTAAAGATTCTAAAAAATATGGAATGAATAAAAATTACTTCATTCTTTTTGCATCCTTAAATGGTTAATATGCATCCTTGCCATCTGCAGTTTAGACTAAATCATCTCCATGAGCAACATGGGAACATGAATGTCTATCTATCTATTCTATAGTTGGATCATATGTTTCTTAGATAACTACTTCATCAACCCATTTACAAGCACTAGCTAAGGCCAATCTTTCTTCATCAGTCATAATTGGTGGTCCTTTTGCTTTAGCTATTGCATCTGATTTGATCACTCCAACAACTAAGGTCTCACATAACTCTTTAGCTTAACGAAGTGCATTGAAATGTCCTGAATGCATTAAATCAAAACATCCATCAAANAATTCTTGGATGGTATCTATGTTTCAAAAAAAACGATTAGATGTTTGATATATATTATAAAGCACAATATGAAATACATTTCTATTTTTGTTGTGGGTATACAAATACATATATCATATTTCTTCCACTTTGTAATCATGATTTTCAAAGAAATTGATTTCTTTCTTCTTCCTTGAATTATACTTTTCTAAGAATCTTAATCTATTGCTAACAATTCTTTCAATAAGTTCATCAGCAGTTTGTTTATTAACAGCCTATATTTATTAATAGATTCCTAATTTAATTGGTAATTCATAAGGATCATCCATTGTTTTTTAAGAGCAAGTACCTTCAACAATTAAATCAATTTTGAAATTTTTGATTAATTATTCATTCACTTTATATGGAACACCCATAATAACTTCATCTACATATTTTAAGGCCAACAAATTTAAAACTCTTTCTTACAAATTCAATATTGGATAGTTTTTCCCTTTTATTTTATTGATAGTCTAGAAATGTAGGAATTATTTTATCTACCTCATTATCATAAACTCCAACATACAAGAAATCTCCCAATTCTTTGGCTTTCCTTAAAACATCAACATGACCTTGATGCAAAATATCGAATGATCCATCAATATAAACAATTTTATCACCAGGTTTAGGTTTCTTATTGTTACTAAATTACATTATTCTTCTTGTTGTATTCAATATTTTGTTATTCAATGTTTATTCAATTGAAGCTTAGTCTATCTCTAAAGAATTAATATTAGATGCTTCTACTATGGTTTACTTTTGAAATACTTTCTAAAAATATTTAAATCAATAATTACTTTCTCTTCCCACATTACTTCTTTAGTCATCAATAGCATTCTACCCACTATATCAGTTGTACTGATTCCTTCTGTTCTTTTAAAGATTCTAAAAAATATGGAATGAATAAAAATTACTTCATTCTTTTTGCATCCTTAAATGGTTAATATGCATCCTTGCCATCTGCAGTTTAGACTAAATCATCTCCATGAGCAACATGGGAACATGAATGTCTATCTATCTATTCTATAGTTGGATCATATGTTTCTTAGATAACTACTTCATCAACCCATTTACAAGCACTAGCTAAGGCCAATCTTTCTTCATCAGTCATAATTGGTGGTCCTTTTGCTTTAGCTATTGCATCTGATTTGATCACTCCAACAACTAAGGTCTCACATAACTCTTTAGCTTAACGAAGTGCATTGAAATGTCCTGAATGCATTAAATCAAAACATCCATCAAAGTATAACCTCTTGACTTTTTCTTCACCATCTCCTTTAGATGGGAGTTATGATAAAAATAGGTCAGCCTGTTCTTTAGAGACATCTCTAATATGAGCATACTCTGAACTGTATTGTTTGGCAATTTGTTATATCTTTTGTGCTTGCTCATTTTAAAGAATATGATCAATAAAAAACAATGTATGGAGGTTATTTTAATCCATTTAATTTAATTTCAATAAAATTCTTTCTTAAGCATTAAATAATTAAAATAATCACCATAACTAGTATGTCTATAATTGAGAAAAAGATTTAGAAATTAACAAAATAACTTGAGTTCACACATAATTCTATTGAAATACATTCAAATGCATCATTCTTTGATGAAGAAAGAAGTTAAGATTTTTAAGATGATGTTTCATCCTCACAAGAAGACTTCTAATTTTATTAATAGAAATCCTGTCTTTACACAAATAAAGTATACGATTTCATTTAAAATATTAGTCAATTATACCACCACAAAGCATAGAAAATTATGAAAATTTCTAAAGAAGAACCAGTTCGACATAAATTCTCATGAGTGATCGATTTATCTAAGAATCAGTTAATAATTTCAATTAAGAGATTGACAATAATACTGTTTAAATTGGTAAGGGCATTGCCATTCACGTGCTTGGAGAAGGATCCATAGGTAAATAAACAAAGAAAGGTAAAAAATTAGAAAAAAACAATTAAAAAAAAAATTAGAATCTTAATAATCAAATAAATATAAATAATAATGAGTAGGAATAACAATCACAACAATCTTCTTTGCTAAATAATAACTATCAATCATAATCAAACTCTTAACATACTAAATAAATTTAATAGACTTAAAAAGTTATACTTGCATATTTGATGGTAGAGAGTGATGTTTCAAAATAAGCTTAACAAAGAGCATAAAATTTCATTTAAAAATATATGTAAAATGTCAATGATAAAGAACTTTTAATAAATATTTAAGAAACTTATAAAATATTGCTTCTGCCAGATTAGATTGTATAGCAGCTTGCTTAAGTTCTAAGTTAGAAAGAAAGCATTTAATATTTAAATTTATCTATGCATCGCCTTAATTTGCCTAATAATCAGCATCCCTTAGCAACGAAAGCGGCTGATAAGTTGAGGAAACTCTTTTAAAATTGTTGTTGAAAGTGAAGTCAAAGAAAAAGGCCAGAATAAATGAGAGATTAAGTTTATATGTGACTTTTATACATAATAATAATATTATTTAAAATGTCATGTTTATTCTCTTTTCTAATATAATTATTATAATAAAAACTTAAATAATTGAATAAAGTCATCTTTAAATTTAATTAATCTTTTTTTTTTATTATATCTTAATGTTAAATTATATTAATTTAAATATAATTCTTTATTGTTTATATGAAATTCTTATTAAATTAAGCACTATTATTTATAAAGAATGGATTTACTTGTTTTTATTTTAGAGCTTCACATAAATATATAGATTAACAATTTTATTAATATTATAAATATAATAATGCATTAAAACTATTATAAATATAATGCAATTAAATTGGAAATTAATTTAGTTCTATTCAACAAACACTATCAATGTTGTTATTGGATTGCTTTTATATTTATATGATGTTAGTTAAATATTTTCACTTGTACTAGTTATATTGAACGGAATGATATTATTAATCAGTATATTGATCATTCATAAACAAAAAAAAATAATTCCAAAAATATACTTTTAATTGTTTATGAATTTTACTCTTAGTGTTCATATATCATATTGCTGTTTTTTAGATAAGGATTTAGCTAGAATAACATATATTTTATTGAAAGCATTAGAAATATAAATGGTCAAAAAATAATCAATAATAAAATCCATAATATTACATCTTGCTTACAACATTTTATTATTTATATTGTTCATAATTCATTAAGAAAATACAATCTCATATATTGTCACTGTATATTGTACTATTTTATTGGTTAAGTTAAAATACTCTTCAATTATTCAAGAAAATTAAGAATTCGAATTACCTGTATAAATTACAAAACCTACATAAAGAAATTCTGAAATTATCAATTTAATATAAGATTCAATTAGTAATTCTTGGCTTATTCGATTATAAAATATACCAGTAGGTATTATGATAGTAAATAAGAATAATCTTTAAATAATGTTTTAAAATCAATCTTTACTTTAAATGTTTGATGGTATTAAAGACATACCTAAATTTTTAATGTATGAATTATAATTCAAACTTTAAATAAAAAGAAAAAGAAAATAAGTTAAAGAAACAAGTATTAAATTACCTAAACAATCTCTTCAATAATAAAATAGTATTCCATAATTTTTTAGTTGCAATAAAATGCCTAGTTTTTAAAAGCTTCCAAATACTTTAAATGAAATATTATTGGAATTATAAAATGGAAATTTAGATTAATTTTATTCAAAAGAGAACAATTTAGAACTTTTAGCTTAATTATCAAAATCTAAGTATCCTTCTTTTCATGAAGAAGAATATACAAGAAACATTTAATGTAAGATATTTTGTGGTTAAAATGATCATGAATATTTGATAATTATGGATGATATATCATTACAAAGTTATTTATAAAAATTAGAAACAAGAGAAAAATTTTAAGTTAGAATTATTGATTCCTTCTCTCATGAATTAAGAACTCCTTTAAATAGTGCTAAATTATTTCTAGATGGTCTTATTAATGATCCAAGTATTAATGAGAATCATAAATATAATTTTATATATCCTGCTTCAAATGCTTTGAAATTATAAGCATATTTAATTAGGGATATTATAGATTTTATTTAATTTCATTCACAAATTATTAAATATAAATTTGAAGAATTTAATTTTGAAGATATTGTCTAAGAAGTAAATGATATATTTAGACCTATATTGTAAATGAAATATATTGGATTACACATTATTGTTAAAAATTCTGTCCCACCCATTATTTTTTCAGATGTAGATAGAATAATGTAGATCTTAGTTAATTTAATTTCTAATTCAATTAAATTTTCTGAAAGAGGATTGATTACCATAGAAATCTCATGCTATGAGACAACTTTAACCTTTTGTGTAAAAGATTAAGGTGTTGGTATAGAAAATGATTAATTACAAAAAATTTAAGAATTCTTAAAATCCTTTAATCAAAACAGAGATTTTTCATGTCATGATGAATGGTAAGGTTTGGGATTACTTGTAAGTTAAATGAATTTATTCAAGTTAGCCCCATAAAACAAAACATAATTAAAAATCAGCTCTAATGGATTAGGTGAAGGTACTTAAGTTACCTTTAAAATTAGGACAACTCAATCATCAAATACATAAATATTAGGAACTACTATCAAAAGATAGAGTTTAAGAACTGCATATACAGTACCAGATCTTTGTATGGGAATCTAAGGGATTTTAATTATTAATAATCCTAAAACGGATGATTTGATGGTTGATAAGAAACTTTAATAAATTCCCATTAGACATCATTCATCTATTGCTAATTATTTTCGACCTTAATAATCTACAGGATTATTAAATTAATATGTATAACAAGAAACAGACCTACTTTAAGATGACGAATCATAAAGAGGAAATCTTTAAGGAAATATAATAAAATTGAATAACTCAACCAAATAATTCTATAACTTTATATTTAATAAAGAATTAAGGGAGAAGTCAATTAAAAGAAGAAAAAAATCTTCATTTAGTATTTCAGAAATTGATATATAATCAAAAAAAAGACCAAATACATTAATCTCAAGACTTATTTAAAGAGAAGAATAGGAAATATAAATGGAAGAAAAGTTTGAGAATTTATAATTCCCTTGTTAATGTGCAAGAATATTATCTGTAGATGATGATCTATTTAATCAAAAAGCATTATAAGTTATCATTGGATAAATGGGATTTAGATTATTAATAGTAATATACATCTAATTTTTTAGGCATATAATGGTTATTAAGCTGTGGAATTGATTTAAAATACTGAAAAATGTTCTGAATCATGTAAATTGTTTCACTTTATTTTAATGGATTGTTAAATGCCCATTATGGATGGGTGGACTACCACAAAAGTACTTATGGATCTCATAAGAGATAAAAAGGTTCCAGATATTCCAATAATAGGATTGACAGCATTTAATTCAGCAGAAGATATCAGTAGATGCTTTGAAGTTGGTATGAGAGATGTATTGACGAAACCTTTAAATATTAACTAACTAAAGCATGTATTAATAAAATTATTTAAATGATTCATGTATTATTTTATTTACTGCTTATACTAAAGTATCAAATATTTCTCAAGATTTCAATTATTATTCTTTAATTTATTCTAATATTATTATAAGAATTGTGTAAATAGAGCAAATCTATATTCTTATTAATAGCAGATTTTGAATATTTTATTATTTGAATATAAAATGTAATTTTTGAATTTATCTTTTTTTAATTTTTCATTTATCATTATTATCTCAATAATAAAATGTATGAATAGATAGATTTTTGTATTTTTACTTGTTTTGATTTTTTCTAATCGATTTTAATCAAAATTCTTCTAATTTTTAAATTTATAATTATCATTTAATATAATAACTAAAGACCATCTTATAAAGTTCTATTTTAATGATATACATTATTATTTTTCTTTTATTTTTTTAGATTTATTTATTTTTGTATGTGTAGAAGAATACATTATATTCTTTTCATTTCATTAAATAAAGAAAAAGATTTAATTTATTTTGAATTAAAATAAAGTTCATATGACATTCATCGTGAAAACAAGAAAAGTTCTATTAAATAAACTCTTGAATAGAAGATAATTAGTAAGCTAATTTATTAATTAAAAGAGTGTTGAATTGCTCCATCCAAATAAGCCAACTCCATCATAAGAATCAGTTGTCAAGGAATTGGCTAGTAAGTATAAAGCAGATGAGAGAAATGTTGTTGTCTATGGTCTCAAAACAACATTTGGAGGTAACAGAACCACAGGATTTGCTCTCATTTATGACACTTAATAGTAAAAGCATTAATTTAATAATTTAGGTATTTACTTAAATTCGAACCAAAATTCAGATTGAGAAGAAGAGGAATCATTCCTAAAAGAGATGGAAGCAGAAAGGGTTGGAAAGAAGTTAAATCAAAGTTAAAGAAGACCAGAGGAGCAGAAAAAACAAAAATTTATATGTCAA